AATGGCTATTATTTTACTTATACAAAGTCAAAAACGTGCAAAACAATATTATTTATTTATTTACTTATTTATTTATTTATTAAAGTTTGTTGGGGTGACAATTGCTAGTAAAGTTGCATAGGTTTCAAATGTACAATTCTGTCATACATCACCTGTATATCACATTGTGTGTTCACCACCCAGAGTCAGTTCTCCTTCCATCACCATATATTTGATCCCTTTTACCCTCATCTACCACCCCTCTGGTAACCAGTAAACTATTGTGTCTATGAATTTTTGTTTCCAAAACAATATTAAAAAGACATAACTGTCATTGTTGGAGGAAAGCAAGTTGTTACATCTAGTGATAGTATGCCATCATTTACATAAATGATGGTAAATACTTTAAAGTAGAAGAAGGCTTTTTTTAAACTTTGGGACGATGATAGATCAAACTAAAATGATACATTTTAATCCCAGTAATGATCCTGGAAAGGGAAGTTGCCCTGAAGATAATGTCTGGTGGTGATGTAATGGTGTAGAGTTGAGACCACTGAAGACACTCAGGAATTAAGTTTATATCAAGAATCTGCAATCTACACACACAAATGTTCACATTCGAAGGTTTTTCTAAATCCTAGATGTCAATCAAATGTCAAGTGAAAGCAATGACACCATTAACATGTAATCTATTTGTCAGCTAGTTTGCCCTTCTCTCTCTGCATGACCATGAATGTTGAACCAGCCAGTCAAGCTCCCATGGTCAAGGCTTGGAGTTCAGCTACTTGGAAAAAGCTCTTACTTATGGAATTTTCAGTTCATTCTCAACCAAAAGAGCATTGTTCTGTATTTCAGACAAGCGTCCTCAAGATAACACTAGCCCTGACCTTTTTCCCCCCAAATTCCAGGTCCATATTTGTGTTTGCAAGGCCCTTTCCTGCTAAAAAATATCTCTGATGGATTGCTCCTATCTCCAAAGTAAAGCCTATGACCGTGCCTCTGTCTAAGCTAGACACTATCCTGGCACCGGGGCCATCGTGATGCACAAAATGCAGTCTAATGGAACTTGGCCCCATCCTATCAGTTTACTGTCTTATTAACACATCTAAAGGGGAAATCTTGGACATTTATTAAAACACTGTACATTTCCACTTGACTGCTTATTTAGTCAGCTAATACTAGTTTTGGCTGGCTTCCATGGTCATAATAAGCTTTTACTACTACATTATGCTATTTAGAATACTGGGATTTATTGTTTATTCCCTTTGCAATCGGTTAGAGATCCAACAGAAACTGAGACATGGATATTTAAACTCTTCTACCACATACCTGTAGCTAGAGCTATATACGAGTATATACTTGATACTCCTACATATATATATATTATATATATATAATATATATATAGTACATATATATTATATATAGATAAATAGATATAGATACTTCTAATAAATGGAATTAACTCCAACTAGAAATGAAGATTTGCTAATAGTATCTCTAGGGTACTATCTTTTAATTACAAAATGTTTTGCATTTATGTTCCTAAATATAAAATTCAAAAAGCCCCTCAGTAGAGAGTCAATGGTATTGTAATAGTTATATATGATGTCAGAGGGGTAGTAGCTTGGGGAAGGAGGTTTATCACTTTGTGCGGGGTGTAAATGTCTATTATGCTGCTTTGTACACCTGAAACTAATAAAAAGAGGGGGGGTCCTTCAGTGAATCTAACCCTAAAATTTGCTTTGTTCTAATATTCTTAAAAGCAGAAAAAGGAACTTCTCTAACCATAAGAATATCAAAATTAGTTTATAATCCAGATTAATAAAAGGAGCATCCATAATTTCTAATGTTTTGGAACATTGATCAGAAGCTGAACAATTCTAAGTATTGTATATCTGTGAAATTGTAGCTGTCTAGTTTGATAATGGACTTCCTCTTCTAATAATCTTTTAAATCAAATTCTCTTGGTACAGAATGTTTCCATCTAACCTATTTCTAAGCAAAATGTTCCAGTGTTATCTTTAAGAGGCTACATTTACTGTTTGGTTCTTTTATCCTTCCTGAATATAACTCAAGTGCTCTAGCACACAGGTTCATAAATCTCATTTTCACACCTGTCCCTCTCTTCCTCATTCCTGCTATCTACTTTTCTGTCCTTGCAAACAGTCTAAGATAGCAACTAATTCTAATACTGGATCCTGCCAGCATGGAAAATGCTAACCATGCCAGAGAGCCAAGAGCTGCTTGGCTCAGAGGAGGACAGAAGAGGACTCCCCAAAGCCAAGGCTCAGCCTCAGCTGCCCAGGAGCAGGATGTGATTACCAGTGGGCTTCTGGCTTCTCTGTCCAAGTGAGAGAAGGGTCTGGGGTGTCAAGGTTATGTGAATTTCTGCATCCCTCTTGGTTGCAGAAATTTTCTGGGTTCTTGGGAGCTCTCCAATGACCTAGCCGAAGTAGGAGTCAGGCCACAGAGCTAAATTAATGTTTTTGAAAATGCCTTTCCTGAAACAGGATTTAACTTTACACTTTTGGTTTAAAAGAAAAATGTAAGAGTATTCTGTAACCTAGTTTATTGTAATATAGATATACATATATTCCTAATCAAATAACATTCTCCAAGATTAAAAAAAAGATGTTTTGAAAACCATCTTATATTATACAGCCAAAGGAAAGGCATAGTTCCTTAATAGCACCCAGATCATAAAAGAGATGTCCAGAGAGCGATTTGAGTGACTACAGGTGTTTAAATAGCATTTATCATTCCATATTTACAAAAATGTTCCTGAAGAATGTTCATGAGCTGAACAGACAGCCAAGGATATGATTTTATGTTTAAAGTCTCTTTAGCAAATGTTGAAGAATAAAGAAATTCTCTCCTCAAATTAGCTAATGAGTGGGGACAGTCGGCCCTGGGGCCCCTTAGAGGTCGTCTGATCTAGCCCCCTATGCAACGAAAAAGTAGATCCCACAGGTCCACTTAAAATACTTCCATTTTAGGAGGTTACTTCATTAAAACAGTCACTGCAGGAAAGTTCCTTCTCAAACCCAATTCTAACCTACCTTCTAACTCAGCAATTCTCAACGCGGATGATTTTGCCACTAGAGGGCATTTGTCAATGTCTGCAGACATTTTTAGTTGCCACATTTTTAGTTGCCTCTGGCATATAGTGGATAGAAGCCAAGAATGCTGTTAAACACTGTACAATATACAAGACAATACCCTCAACAAAGAATCATCTGACGCCCAAATGTCAATGGTGGTGAGATTCAGAGACCGTGCTCCAAACTCCTTGTTGATCCTAGGAAGGCTTTTTGAAGAATCACGAGTCAATGCTTTTTCTCATATGTGGCACTTTCAAAAATATTCAAAACTCTCTGTATTAGTCAGCTGTTGTCACAAAAACGCTGAATAAACCACACCGAAACT